AGAGTAAAATTGTGTCAGTAGATCATCTCCACCGTATTCCAGGAAGAAGTAAATGTAGGGGACTGTGAAGTTCATAAGTAATAAAATAGGTTGAACAAAAGTCAAATAATCTCATAGATACCTTAAGAAATAAAACAGGTTTTCTTAGCATACCTATTAATGGCACCATATTTTCCCGTATTACTAGTTTATCTGCGGAAAATAAAATTTACAATTATAATTATTAAACTTGTTATTTTAGTTGCAATTAGCCCCTATAAAATGATACGCCACTGCCTATGAGGAAATGTAAACACAACTTCCTCACCCCTCCAATGAACTATTTTGGCTTCAAGCCACATAGGTATAAATAACGTCTGTAATCTATGGTATAAACACACATAGGCAACTTTACTAGTAAGAGATTGAAAATTACCCCCACTACTTGACTCCAGAGCCCGAGAGGACAGCGATATGTGTCTGTCCTTTTTTAGACAGAGACAAAATAAATTTCTGTTGTCTCTGTTAGCATTCATTTTGAAATTTAACAGCTGACGCCGGAACTTCATCATGATTCATACGTTACAATATAATTTTAGAATTTTCAGAAAATGTAATAATGTGAATGAAGAAATTATACGTGAAACATTGCCAATGACATCAATTTACAAATGAACTACATGGTGATTTACAAACAGTGACAAAAAATGAAACCTCGAATTCTTTAGTGAATTTTAAGGTAGGTCTTTCATATAAAGTTTTTGTCTAGGTCGGTTCACTAAAACAATCCAGTGTTAAATTAATATTTTTAATTTTTTATAACATTTTAGAAACTAGTGAGTGAAATAATTTGAAATTAATCACATGAATGTATGTAAATATTGTACAAAATCGGAAGCATTTTCTTAAAAAACAATGTTCCAGTGGCTGAGATACAGGGCTTTATTATGATATTTTCGGATTCTCCTTACAATTTTCTACAAATCACCACCCCTTTATGTTTTTCGAAAAAAAAAAAAATTTTCGTTGAACTGAAAACATTGTTTAAATTACAATAGAAACACTTTTAATCTATTATTTAATCGAATAAAGAACATCTCATAGATGATTTTATTTGAGTAAATGCTCAAAAATACCTCAATTTGCGCAAACACAGCCTACTAATGTAACGATTAAACAGCATTGTATTCAAATATCGAAGTGTGTCTTCAGTTCATTTTTTAAGTTTTACTCAGGAAATCAGGCTTTTTTGGAAAAATATAAAAGAATAGTAATTTGTAGAAAATTGGAAGAGGAATGCGAAAATATCATGATTGTTACAATAAAGCAGCGGCATACTTTTTTATTTAGACAAATATACCAGCAATACCCTGCAGCATTTATTTTTTAATTTTCATTATTTGTAAAAAATTAAAATATTTTTTAAATTTTAATACCCTGTATTTTTTTAACGAAACTTCCTAGATAAAAGCTTTATACGAAAGAGCCCTCTTAAAATTCACTAAAGAATACGAGGTTTCATTTTTGGTCAGTGTTTGCGAATCACCTTACGAATATAATGAGAAGTTATCGTATGCCCCTTTACACACAATGAACTTATCTTATACCCCTCGTATGTGCAATAATTGCCCTTGAAAGTGTTTCTCACTCCAAACACCGATGGCGTATTTAATGCATTTTTTCATTGACTTGTCTATCTATTTCTTACATAGTATATCTTATCTATGGGTATAAATTATGTATCTGTCTTTTCTAGATCTGTGGTTAGCATCATTTAAAATTCTAACCTAAAATTGAATATTTTAATTTTACGAAGAGTATCCAGTATTGAGTATTGGTTATAGTTTAGAATTGGATATTCATTACAAGATTCAGTAATCACCTTTTGGCTTTAGTATATTAAAATACATAATTTAACAATCAATAGTGAGGGCTCCAGATTATTTTAAAGGTAGGTGTACAAATAAAGTTCAATAAGTTAAAAATATTTTGTTTATAATAAGCTGCATTGGGTTTTATAAATTTTTAGCTGTAGAAAGTGACAGACGAATTGTAATGTTTTGTTACAAATGTGAAATGCAATATTTTTATAGTATTTTAGATAATGGCCAAGCATCACCCTGATTTGATATTTTGCCGAAAACAACCTGGTGTGGCAATTGGCAGGCTATGTGAAAAATGTGATGGTAAATGTGTAATATGTGATTCGTATGTCAGACCTTGTACCCTGGTAAGGATATGTGATGAATGTAATTATGGATCATATCAAGGGAGATGTGTAATATGTGGAGGTCCAGGTGTATCTGATGCTTATTATTGTAAAGAATGTACAATTCAAGAAAAAGATAGAGATGGCTGTCCAAAAATTGTTAATTTGGGTAGTTCCAAGACAGATCTGTTCTACGAAAGGAAAAAATATGGTTTCAAAAGACGATAGTTGTACAAAATATAATACAATATAACTTTCATAACTAAAATCTTCATTTGTATTACTTATATTAAATCCAGTAAAATTTAAATTATCAAATAAAAAAAACAAGTAATAGGTAATCATATAACCAATTGGAAAATAATATATAATCTGAGTCTGGATAACATCGGACTGTTGTAAATAACAAGAGTTGTATTGAGTAGATTTTATCATAAATTTAGTGATTTATTATACAAATATAAACACTATTCACTATATTTTAAAAGCTTAACTATTATAAGTCCAGTGTGTATAGATTACCATACTTTTCTTAGTATGGAAAGCAGATTGGTATAATGTACTATCAATACATTTAAATGATTCTTTTAAACTATGTTGGACCAAACACTGAGTTTTCTAAATATCCTGTTAAGATGTATATGTGATGTTAATTTTCAATTAATGTTAACTTTTCAGTTCAGTGGACATAATTAAAACAGTGAGAAAATAGATCTAAAGTAGGTATGATTAACAAAATAGGTTTTAAGCTCGGCATGCAAGATGTTCTGCAAAATTTAATAGCACTTACTAGCATGCAGCATGTGTTGAATATGTTGTGAAATGATATCGTAAATAACTGAAACAACAAAGTATTGAAAATTGTATGTAGTGACAAAACGAGGTGACCAAATTTTTATAAAATCGAATGCTGTAAATGCAATACATAAGTTGCTTGAACTGGTGATGTCACATAAACTTTATTCAGTAGTGTGATGATTGGTGGCTCTTAATCTGACTAGTCTTTCGTGATCTTTCGAATTCTTTTGCTTTATTTGCTTTCAGTATGCATATTACACCTATGTTAATACTTCTACTAAATCTGAGACAGCTTGCTGAGTAAAATAGGATATAAAAAACATTTTATGCATAATGCCTTCCATTAAGTTCAAGGATACTTTATTATTTGGCCTTGCATATAACCACATCAATGTGAACCATATTAGTGCAGTGCATCCGGAGATCAACTTCATCATGTAGATGGATGAAAATGGTACTCTATTGTTACTAGACGTTCTTGTCATGAGAAAAGGGACACCACTCTGGCATTTATAGAAAGCCATCTCATACGGATATAGATTTCAATGCTGGTTCTCATCACCACCCAGCCTATAAACAATTATCGACATGTTATGATACAATGAGCTTGTATCATCTTTAAGCCAGAACACATAGATGAGGAACTACAGCACAACGACCTGCGGTAATTATTTACTTTAGTGGCACCACCTCCAATTTTCACGAAATTTTGTCTACCCCCCTATTTTCGATGGTTCTGAACACGAATCTGCAGTTTTTTTTGTGCGGTCGAACCTAGTTTTCGAGAAAAAAATTTTTCAAAATTCCAACCTGGATATTTCATATAACACTACGTAGAACTCTGTATATTTTATGTAGCTTTCCAGAACATCTGTTATGAACAATTAACACTGTTTACGAAATACATTTTCGTAAATTTCAAGTAAAAAGTAACGTATTTAATAAATAAAAATTTTGTAGTTTGAATCCGCCATTTGTAATTAGTGATGACAACATTGAGTTCCCCCACTCTCATTCAACTCTGTTCATCCCACATAAAGTTACTATTATTTAGATATGTGCTATTATTTTATTTATTAAATACATATTTTTTTTTAGTTCAAATTTGGGAAAATTTGTTTCTTAAAAAATGTTAATTGTTTATTACAGATGTTCTGAAAGCTACATAAAATATACAGAGTTCTACGTAGTGTTATCTGAAATATTCAGGTTAGAATTTTGAAAATTTTTTTTCTCAAAAACTGGCTTCGACCGCACAAAAAAACTTCAGATTCGTGTTCAGCACCATCGAAAATAGGGGGTAGACAAAATTTTGTGAAAATTGGAGGTGGTGCCACTAAAGTAAATAATTACCAGAAGATAATACATCTCCCGAAATGTCATATGTCATGAAGCCTAAACCGATGATATACTAACCAATCCAGAAATTGTTCTGCCAAAGGTGTAATTATAGCCATAAAACTGTGGCTGCAATGCAGGTAGTTTACTTTGGGAAGCGTTGTGGGGTGTATAGTAACACACCTAACGTTTGTCATTACCTGTTAAACAAGCACCTGACCTCTACTCTTCAAGTGAACCACCTCTGATGCGGCTGCGATTTAATGGGCAAAGCGGAGTGGTCATTATTAATAACAGCTGGCCAAAATCATCACTGTAAAATGTTCTACGATTTTTTTGGGTTTAGGCTAATGAGATTGACCTAAACTCAAGGCCACAAGCAACAAGGGAGCCTCCACCCTCTCCCTAACTCCACCAATGTGATTGATTTCAACTGAAAAATTATTCTGTTTTGTGTTCAGCAGTGTCTGTCGATAAATAATTTTACCTACGACCACTACTGTAAATACTTAAAAACACACCGTCTGTGATCAATGTAAGATTCCTATTACGTAAGGTAAAAAAATCGCACAGTTTTCCTAGCAACCGCCTAGCAACGTACAATGCTGTTTGTATTGACCGTTGCTAGGCGGTTGCTAGGAAAACTGTGCGATATTTTTACCAAGCTGTGCGATTTTTTTAAAATACGACACAGTAGTGGTCGTAGGTAAAGTATAGTACGTAATACGTGGTGTAATGCAATTACGAACTCATAGAATTACTACTGCTACGCGGCGCCGTGCGTAACTTTTCCATTCGTGCGTAAAATGCTTTTTGCAACACTTATTACGTAACATACTATAATACTTTTAATAGATATATTGTGGAAAAACAAACTAAAAACTGTTCCAGACTAGGGAGCATAGCAACACCGATGTCATGAATTCACACATAAAAAATTTTGTTGACACTAGAGCTATAAAAAAAGTAAAAATTCATAGAACTATTTGCATTGTTTTAGAAAATATTTTTTTTATTCATTAACAATAATGGGAATTCTAGAAATATTAGATACTGCTACTACTAAGATATAATGATTGGGCAAACATGGCTTATTACAATTATTGAAGGTTATCATAGTCTTAAGCGATAATGTATGATATGTCTTTGACATTGCGTAAATTCGCTTGCACATATATTAGAAAGGATAAAAATCAAAAATAAATGGTGAATCATGATAACTATACTATTGTATTAAAATGATAAAATAGGCAAACTGTATATTATTTATTTTAATTTTAAGAAATCAATTTGTAGGTTAAAATTCCAAACAAGCAGTACCTTAATCTTTCTCAGAACGTAAAACACATCTTTTTATAGATTTTTCTTTACATGTGTCATTGGTGGGATATTAGATGCAAAAAACCTTTCACTGCAAGGAGTAGTACTTCTACCCTTAAGATCTAGGTGATTTTCCTGATAATTCTCAATATTTTGCTATGAGGTTCTTTGCTGCTAGTTGAATAATAATTTTTTTTTTTGTAAACAATGTAGGTAACTGTTTAAAATAAAAATATAAATTATGTAGAAGCAATAGAATAGAAATTGAGTAAATTGTCCATTAAATCTACTCCATTTTATTCTAATCTAGAACCACAGCTGGTTTAACTAATAGCATTTTTCTTTATTTATATTCCTATTATATTATTGTCATATACAGTACTAATAATATGCTTGTCTTTTTGTCTTTCATTACTTCGAAACAATACCACGCTGCCTTTCTAGATTTTTCTTTTTAATTTCTTTTCAATTCCTATTTATTTGGCGCATTATCCAGTATCTATCTGTTCTTGGTTCTATTTATTACCATAATTGGTGTCTTTAGTTATTATCGACGAAATACAAAAACTTAAGTGGAAACATGTTTTATTAACAACTTTTCCAAGAAAATAAGCAGTTTCTATACTTTCCCGTTTGATAAAATATAACTAATATGATTGTTTTAAACATATATCTTGCAAAATTAATATAACAATAAATACCTATTCTTATTTTGTTTGAATTCATAATTTTCCATTTTCTGACTTGAATAATAACTGTAGATATGTAAATCAATTTATATTAGATAATCACGAAAATACTGGGATTATCTAGTATAAACTGGTTTGCATATATACAAGTTTTGAATAAATTAGAATATACACAAATCTGATCATAAAAAAAGTTTTACCTGTTTACCTCCTTAACAATGAAACTTTTAGAGATTTATCAAAGAACAATTCTCATACATGAAATATATTATTTGGATCAGGAATAATTACCTGTATTCCAGACTGGGCAGTAAATGGGAAATAAGTTCTAGGAATGTGATTGTTTGTCCAAGGAACATCCAGCAGAACATCTTCAATATTGTTCTCATCAGATAAAGATTCTTCACTAAATATATTAGTAGTTGTTCTCATCTGACACGCTACTTGTTGATATATTACTCAAGTCAGAATTTTTGTTTAAATCTGAGTCCTCACCTTACCTCAACAACAAAAACTGCTTTAAATAGAGACTATTTTATAAAATATACAGGGTGTTTCTAAATAAGTGTCGCAACGGAAACCTGTAAATTCCTCTTGAAAAAAGAAACTTTAATTTTTTTTAAATTTTTTGCCAATATCTTAGGAACCGTTTGAACTACAGGACTGAGTTTTTGTACACGCATTATCATTATTAATAGCTACCTTTTCGCACCCTTCTTGAATTTATTGAACGTGCCAGTGGTGGAGATTTTAAGGTATCGTAAGGGTTTTTCCCCCCTAACTTTTACGCCACTGGAAAAATTGACATTTGACAGCAAATTCTGAAGCGCCAATGAATTTTACACAAAAAAAAGTTCTCTTGCTTCATTGTTCTAAAGTCGACCATTTTCAAGAAAAATAACTTTCTATGAATAAAAACAAACATGTTGCTAACGTTTCGAAAATCTTTTGTAATTCAAAAGATAGATAGTAATAATTAACAATTTTAACGAAATTTAACAACATTTGCAACAAGTAGCTACTAATAGTGGTAATGTGTGTACAAAATCTCAGTCCTGTAGTTCAAACGGTTCCTAAGATATTAGCAAAAATCTGAAAAAAAATTTGGACACTGTATCTCGAAAACGAAAGCCTGGAGAGAAAAATGGAAGAGCAAAAACATGTTTCTCTTTGCAAGAGGAATTGTATAGAATATTTTACATTACTTAAGAGTGAGGATGTGAACGCAAACACAGCAAGTAAATATATTTGTATTATCCATCCAAGGCCCATTAGAAAACGACTATAAATTTGCGTATATATTCGTCATAACCAGTTAAGAGATTAAAAATTCAACTTTATAAACTTAAAAATCAGTTGTCAGTTTTTACTTTCCCTGTATAATTGGCATAAAAAAGAGTGATACGTGCGAAAGAGCGTCCTTTTCTCAACACGGATTCTTGTCTAATTTTAATATATCTGTCCGTTTTTGAGATATTTTCTCTAAACTAAATGTGCACAGCTATTATTTTTTTAATCTACTATTTTCTAGTCCTTAAAATAGAAGGCGTGCCATAGAGTGATGACATTTAGACTAGTTGCATATCAAATTTTGCTGGGATCATAAATAAATAGGTACATCATCCAGTGGCGGTGGCTGCCTTTAATTCCAAGTATGTAGTATTTTGAAGAGTATTTCATTTTATTTGACAGATCGTTATTGAATTATATTGCTTTTCTATTCGTTAACATTATAAAGAACTTCCATTAATAATTTAGAACTACTGTTTCACAGTTTATATATTTTATTAGAAATGCAGTTTTAAATACAATGTACGAATGAAAATATCAAAAATTATCAATGGCGGCTCGTCAGGTGACGAAAGTGACACACCGCTTCACCTAAAATTTCCGTTTGGTTGTGCAATTTAAAATTATTTTAATTTTATATAAATTTTATAATTTAGGTATATATTGAAAATGTATTATGTTTGTTTGTTTAATACGTAGAAATAAACAGAATAGTTGTACGGTGAACGCCTTCTAAAAAAACATTGCCTTCGTTGAGCGCGGACATCAACCTCGTACCGTACAACATATAGTATACACAAGTGACGCAGATCGAAACAGTCTGAATTTCGCTTCTCTTCAAAGCGTTGTATACGGCGCGGCGGTTGTAATGGCAACGAGGCGGCCGACATGTGAGAAAATTACGGCATGGGGAAACGAGCGACGTGGATATTGAAGTAGTATTGTCATTGCCCATCGCCTGCCTTTAACCAGTTTATACGATATGTGTCGCCAAGTGCACGATTATAACTATTCTTAGTTAATATTTGTTTTGTATAATTGTAGAAATGTTTCCTATGTATGATCCAGTATGTATTTTATTGGAAATGCCATTTTCCCGAATTGAGGACAAAAAGGATTTTTTTTAATTGTGAGAGACCTGTGCCTTATTCTCTCGATATGGAAAAAAGGGGAAGTCAAAAGACAATGTGCATGTTCGGAAGTTTCGGAATGAATTCGGGGTATAAGTGGTTGCGTGGAAGTGTTTATTTAAAAAAACTTTTCTGTCTGCCGTGTTTAATTGTGGGTGTAAAGTCGGGCGTGTGGAATAAGGGGGTATTTCACAATTTTGGGAAAGTCATGCGAGGCTATCGTAACCACAAAGCTTCTTTGGAACATACATGTACAGTGTGCGTTAATGTTCGCACTAAGTAAGTCCACAAGCCGAACTAATATTTCTACTTTATAAAATATAAATGAAAATCCTTCTCACGAACATCAGTTTTTCAGAAATATTGCAAATGCAATTAAAAATTTCCAAATTCACTTAGTTGTTTGACCTTGAAAATTTGAATTTTTTTTTTCTTTTTAGTCAATCAATTAATATGCTTCACCTATTCTCAATGTCACGAACCGCCACTGAAAATTATTGATATAGAATCTTTTCATTTTACTAGAGGTAGCAAAGAAGTATAGCCTTGTATAAAAATATGCAAAATTATGACTATTAATGACAAGTTTGAAAAATGTTTGATGTGGAAATTTCACTTTTTTTTGTGGCGCTATGACATTAACGCAAAATTTCTGACGATATTTTTGACATTTTCATTTAAAAAAATCAGCTCATCCAAAGTTATAGGAATCAAAATGAAATTTGCTGGGAGAAATAAATTTTGAAGGTCGACCACTGCACAAACATAATTTTGTAATCTATAGGTATGGCAAATATAATAATTTCTACACACGCTGTGCATACTAATGCCCACAATAGTTTTAGTTAGGTACTTTTGTTATATTATTGGGATTAATACAAAATTTACATATATTCAAAAACTAAACTTTAATACTATTATGCAGTACAACGATAAAAATCACAAAATATAAGTAACGAACATAGAAAAAATATATCTTATACAAAATAATAAACACAGCTTTCCAATAATATTTAAAATAAATAAAATGGCAATTTAACTTAAAATATATTAAACTTCTTTTTCTTCTTTTTTTCTAAGGTTGAACAAGGTTCACTTTCATCAATATCTTTGTCGGCATCTATTTTGTGACCTTTGTCTTTATGTTTCAATTTTTTCTCCTTCTTGTGTTTTTTCTTGTCTTTTTCCTTTTCTTTTCTTAATTTCTCAGGTTCCAGTTTTTCTCCGTCTCTTTTTAATGTATAGAGGTTTATATGATTATTTATACTGTCGTCTTCTTCTGCCTCCCTGACTCTGTCCATTTCCAAGCATTCAATAATTTCATTTCTTCTTTCCACAATTTCCACTAACCTGTAATTAACAAATACTTTATATTATACACAATTCTTATTATAAATTTACTCTGCTTAATATATGTAAAAATAAGTTGAAAATCACCTGTTAATTAGCTCCTCTTCTCGAGCTTTGTCTGAATCAGTCTTATTGGCTTCCGGTTGTAACATTAGACATCTTATTTGATATTCCACATCAGCATGCTCCTCTTCTAACCGCTGCTGTCTTCTCCTAAAAAAGCCACACAGAAAGGTTATCAATAAATTACTACTAAAATGATTATTAATTTTCTTTGCTTTTGACAATATACTAGGACTGTGAATTAATTTTGAGAGATTTGCAATAGATGGCGCAACTTATGCTATATCACATCGGACACTTCTGTAACTATATTCATGTCAAAGCTCTGTCCTTAGGCTTCACTTTTTATTATGTCATTATGCGGAATTGTAAACATATATTTTTTTCACCTCCGAATTTGTTGAATTACGTGCCGACAAAACACCATTTGCGGAAAGTTTTACTTTTCCTGTTTAATTCAAAGTACTACTGAGAGTCATCGAGTCATCTAAAAAGATAAGAATGTGTGAGTATTGGTTTTGACGTTTTAGAAGTAGCGATTTCGATACAGTTGACAAAGAACGTCCTGGTCAACCAAAAAAATTCGAAGATGAGGTATTGGAAGCATTACTCAACCAAGATTCATGTCAAACACAAGATGAACTTGCTGAATCGTTGAATGTTAATCGCACAACAGGTTCTAAACCAGCGGTCGGCAACTGGCAGACCGCGGTCCAGATCCGGACCACGGAAGGTAAAATAATGGACCCCCAAAATTTTTTGAAAGTATAAAAATTACTCAAATAATAAATTATTTAAAATATTTTTCTATAGATAACAATACGTTTGAGTGCCACTCTTATCATTTTTTCTAGGTAGTAGGTAGATTAAATTTTTGAGTGCAAATTAAAATAACAAGGAATTTTTTCTGGATCACGTTATAAATTTTCAAAAGTATCCGGACCCCACCTAAAATTACCGACCCCTGTTCTAAACGGTATAATTCAAAAGCAAGGTAATTTGGTACCATACGAATTGAAGCATGCGAGAGATGTTGAACACAGATTTTTCATGTATGAAAAATTGCTTCAATGGCAAAAAGGAAAGTTTTTTGCATTGTTTTGTCAATGGTGATGATAATAGCACAGCTTAATAATATACAGCTTTGATGTGGCGGTCGAGAACCAAGCGAGACGGAATCGTGCTAACTCTCTCAGATTAAGCGGAATAGTAGGGGCTGGATTAAAAGAATTTTTATTATTGAAATAAAATATTTAGTTTCTACCTGACAGTACCGTAGTAGGTAATTTTAATAATACGAAGTTTGAATTAGAATATTACGTGGTATGACATTAAAATGGAAAATGGGTATTTTAGATAGGTAATAGGTTTTGTACTTGGAGTTAATACGGATTATTAAAAGAAAACTTGAAGAGTAATTAAAATTCCTTGCTGTAAGCTCCTGTTTACCGACGTAATCATTAGAGAAGAAAATGGTTAAAATCGCGTTTTTTTCGAACAAAAAATCGTTAATATCTCGAAAACGGTAGATTTTAGAAAATTACGAATTTGTTTAAAAAAAATTGTTTAAACAATTTTTGACCATTAGTAACGTCTGGCAACATGCGGATATGTTTCAAGAGTCATTTTTTAGTAAGATTATGAGAAAAATCGAATGAGAATCATGTTCCTAGCCTAGCGGGAGCAACGATATAGCCTGGACTAATATACATATTATAAAACATACCTACAATATAATATACAAAAAAATATAATAACATAATATATAGTATTAAAAATATAGTCATTACAGATTTCTCCATTATTATAAGTTTTTTTTGAATTTTCCTAAAATTTTGGTTTATAGTTTATAACGTATAATAAATTCTAACCCTTAAATATAACCAAAGTACAAATTCTTTCGGAAAAGAATGACACGGATGACTAAAAGGTAGTCTTTTAATTAATTCAAGAAATGTGCTACAAATGTTATTTTTTGTGGATAATTGTTCAAAATTATCTTGAAATATCTTTTCAGTGTTACAAATGAGCTCAACAAAGTTATCGTTTGGCATTCCAAATAAATATATCCAAATAATGGTCCAAATAAAGTATCTTCATTTTCATTATTTTATAAAATAAAAATAAATCAACGAAATTATACTCATGCCTATGATTGCAATTCTTACTACCCGTTGTCGTTACTCGCCTGAACGAACGCCAAAGCCGTCTTTTCCCCTGGAAGGCGGGGCATAAACACTGCGCGACGAAATCGACGCTAACCGTTCCCGCCAAGACAGTTGGGGAGCTGTATAAGCTGTGATAATAGGATATGCTATGGCATCGACGGCAAGGCCAAATATTTACGAAACCATCCAATGCTACCGAACACAATTGACGCGTTTGAGCCATGCACTGACGGAAAAACTGACACAATTCCTACTAAGGCATGATAAAGTAATTTTTCCACATGACAACACACGACCACATAACGCTCAAGAAGTCAAAAAATATTTAGAAACAGTGGAATGGGATGTTGTACCTCACCCACCATATTTATAAAATATTGCTTCATCAGATTACTACTTGTTCTAATCTATGGAATATGGCCTGGTTAAGCAGCGATTCCAATCCTACGAAAATATAAAAAATTGGATCAATTGGTGGATAGCATCAAAAGATGAGTTGTTCTTTCGATGTGGTATCCGTATGCTACCAGAAAGATGAGAAAAAGTAGTAGCTAGCAATGGACGAGACTTTGAAAAATAATAACGTACACAATTTTTCACAATAAAGCCTTGCATTTACAAAAAACTTCCCCAAATTAATTTACAGCCCTAGTAGATTTTTTTAAATATTTATTTGACTAGCAATGTAAAATTAATACAAAAACTCACAAATACATAAGTTCGGCTTGCTTCCTGAATAGTTCATTTTTCTCATTTACCAATTCAAACAATTGTAAAATCAAATCCTCCACATCAATAGGAAGGCTGTCGTCATCTACAATTAAATCAAATGTTGAGTGCTACAATCATAACAGTTGTTTAAAATTGTCTACCTGCAGTTGAATCAGGGTTAATGCCACTTCCTTCACATTTTTCTCTAATTATTTGCTCTAACCGCACGCCTTGTTTTTCTAATCCTTGCTGTTGGATTTCAATGACTTCTAATTCTCTACGAATTTCACTCATTGGCAAACATTTAATTGTTCTCCTCTGTGGGATAGGCCTATTAGGTGCTTGACCCTTACGCCTCTTCCATTTTCCAAAAGTACTTTTATTGGGAGCTGACAAACTAGATGAATTTTCGCTAGATGTGGGACCTGTAAGAGTAAAAATAAATTTTGGTATGCTTTTTAAAAATATATAGTGCAATTTATATAAGAGTAGAGATATAAAAGGTGGCTATGACCTGTATGGTAATGCGCTAAACAAAATTTTCAGAGTAGCTCTCACCAGATAAAAATTAAAATTTTTAAAACAATTACCCGTTTCCTCAAAGAAAATTAAAACCATATGCAAAATGCAGGCATTATTATGGTTTCAGAGTGAGTTCCCTGATGTAAAAAATAGAAGCGCTGATTTATGTATATAGAGATGCATTGAACAATTTATTACTTCAATTGGCACTAAACATTTTCAGCGACGGCTAGTGAAAATTGAAATGGTCATATTTATATATACGAGCATGGGAATCATACCCTTTTTTTAAGAGATGATTTTTAGGTTCATAAAGAGAGCTGTGAAGTGTTTTGATAAATGTATTACATATACAGGGTGTCCCATAAGCACATGATCAAAAAGGTACTGCGACATTCTTTATTACTTCATTAATTACTTACTTTGCATACTGGCATTGTGACTCTGCCTGTTTCTGTTCATTTCGTCTTTGACAATTTTTTCTTGTTCAACATCTTGCTCTGTTATGTAAGGGATATCATGTTCGCTATCTTGCAGATCTGACTCTATACCAACAATTTTTATTGGTGACACTGCAGAGGATGACAAATCAATGTTTTCTGGATCTTTTCGAATTGGGAGTGGAGTTGAGGAGCTTGGAGGTGGTGGTGGAGCCTTTTTGGTTTTTCGATATTTAGGCGTCGATTTTGGTGAATGTTGCTGTAATAAACAAATAAATAGCTGTTAAAATAAGTCAAATTTAGCTCCTATATTTATTTTTCAATTTTGAATAACATTTTTTTCTCCTTTCAAAAAAATGGTATATAATGAATGAGACCTATGTAAGAAAATTTACAAACTTTAAGGAGTAAAAAGAAGCAAAAACTGTATCTTGTTCTACAGATATGTACTTTTTGTGACTGAAAAAAATTCTTTGCACCAAATTTGATTTTATAATTTTATATACATTATAAATATCTATGTATGTATAAGTATGTTTGTCTGTATGTCTGCGTGTGTGTATGCATCCATCCAACCATCCATACATCCACCCATCCATCCATTTGTTTAACTTTGTCAGTATTTACGATATTTTAATAAAATTTGCTATAAGGATGGCTTTAGGGTATCTGAAGATGAACATCGTCTTATATTTTTTGTAAAATATAAAGGTCAATAAAAACACCTGAAATAGTCTTATGTATTATGACACATCACTTTACTGTCAGTTTTCTAGTTCTCTATGGCAGTTATTAGTAACTGAGCATTTTGGGAATATTTAAATCTGATTTAACTTCATTCATTTGCTAATTGTGCATTAATTTTTTTTGCGATTTAGGTATAGGTATCAGTTTCAATTACTAAATGTTGTTTTGTGAAACTATTTTCTAAATCACAAAAAAATGTTTAACAAACGTAGTTACAAAGAAAAAAGGTGAAGTTTAATTAGACAGAATGTTCCTAATATTCAAAGGTTTGGTAACTGAGTAGGAGGAATAGAAAATTCAAATTTATTCCCCAAAATGATACATTTTGGCAACATGCAACAAGTGTACCATTTTTATAATAATGTGGGTCAAAACTTTTACCAACAAGTAATGGTAAAAACACCATTTCAGGTATTCTTAGCTCTTAGTACCTATATGGTTTAGGTAAGAAATGAAATTTAAGTGACTGAGTGAATGAATCCCCGTAGTCTTAAAGTCATAGCCAGAAAACACTAGCTTACACTGTGGCAATAAAACATTAAATTATCACTTGTAATGATATTCGTTATTTACAGTGACTGCTACCATTTTTTCTAGAATTAAACCTAAAAAAGGAAATTAAATTAAAATGGATTACTTATTAGTTTTTTTTTTAAGATCGGCTACTCTCGAGTCTAGTGATTTGTAACATAAGCATATGTCTTTTTTTTGAACAGCAATTGGTTTTATGCAAATATAAAAGATGTATATCTACATCTTTTTGTAATGAAGTCAAGAACAATACTCTCACAACAAAGTTCCTTGTTAAAAATAGTTTAAATTATTTGAAACACTTACCACACTGTGACTAGGACTCGACGTTAGTGAGTTAGTTGTAGATTCAAAGTATTCAGTTTTTACTGGTATTGGAGGCTTAGGTGCTGGTTTCTTCTTCCTAACACTTCCATAGGCACTTCCACTAGATATAGAAGAATTAGAACCAAAATTACTATTGAGAGATAGATTCCCCAACTCTCTCAGCTTAGGCTCAGGCACGTCTAAAGTTGTCCTGGTGACACGATATTTTAACATTATTAAATGTATATCGACTTAGAAAATAAGAAACGTTTCAAGCATATCCATATATGAAGTGTAGAACAATACACAATGCACATAAAACACACAGTTGTGGCATGTTAATGAACTCCTTCGTGACTCACTATTAAATGTAATAACATTACATTGAAAGGGTTGCACTTGTCTACAATTAACTAACTGGCCAAAGCAAGTTTCTTTTCATGTGAACTGTTTTACGTATAACTGTAAAAAACTAACTGAAAACGAATACTTGTTTTAAATAGAATGTGAAATGTGCTGAAGAGTAAATACTATTTCACAACACATGTGGGATTAAATTTTCCTTTAATAATAATAATTTAAATATATGTATGCAAGAAATGAGAATATTGCATATAATGGCTGTGTATTGAAACATACTACTTAATACATAGTTATTAATACTTTCTACAGGTACCTAATCCTAAATAAAATATACTTACCATTAAAATTTTTATATGGGTTGCCATATGTGATATTGACAATTAATAATTAAGTATTAAAAGAAAAAATTACATTCACGTTTTCAAAATACATATAAAAAAATATATATGTTACCCCACAAGTGTCAAAATTATATAACTTTAATTTTTTTAATATCAGTCCATAAACACCAAAATATCAATAAAATTATATAAGTATTTAACAATTTTGATGCCAGGTTTAATCATTTAAAATAAAATACATATATAGGTACCTATATAAATTTATTTTTTTTCTATCAATTTCGATTGTATAAATGTACTATTCAACAAATGAAAAGTGCTTGAACGGTAAAGTATTAAATTAAAATTTATTCAATAATATTTCCAGTAGAAAAAAGTTTCATTCAAAACATTATGGTACCTATATGAGGGAGACACTGCAGAAGTAATTTGGTGTACAAACCTGAGTAATATTTGAGTTCTACTGAGTATCTACTATTTGAGTAGGTAATAAGTATATAAATATTAAAACAATTATGTCACAAGTCACATGTACAATGCGGAATCTGCCGCCCCCCATATCCGCTCTCTACCTCTTTTCTACTATTTCTGATTAATACTCGTACTCAATAATGCTCAATGGCGTGCACCCAGTGAACAAAGTAGTATCATTTTTTTATTAATTAATTTTTATTTTCTTTTATTGTCATTTGCCATATCTTGTATTCATTCCCGCCCTCCCCATATACCCTTAAGAAATTTTATGACAGAATAAAATATTTTATTATTTTAATTAGTTTCATTTGCCCTCTATCAGTTTTAATACTATCAGTTACTTCACTATTTTTATTCATTAGAAATGGTGGAAATGAAAGTCATCCTTATAAATTGTTATAGACTTATGATCAATTGAGACACATGTAAACATACATATTAGGTACATATTATATTTTCTTTTAATAGTGACTTAAAAATATGTTTATCTTACCTGCCTACAGATGTTCGTGGTTTAGGAATTGGTTGCTTAAAATTGTCCTCTTCATTCTCTTCATCTTCACTTTCAAAAGGATTCAGATTAATTTTAGGAGGCGTAATAACTTTCTTCTTTCTAGTCGCTGGCACTGGAGGTTTGTTATATTCATCATCATCACTTTCAAACGGATTTATGCTTACTTGATCTCCATGAATATTAGAAAAACGGTCTGAAGTGCCTGTTATCTTCTTATCTGCATCTGTAGGTATAATTCTTTTTCGAAGTCGTGGGCTTGGCACTGGTTTACTTACAGGTTTTTCCATATCCTCAACATAATCATCATCGTCATCTTCAAATGGATTAAGAGGAGTACTGGCTTGCTTCTGTTTCACTATATGTGTTTCATCATTCTCATCTCCAAATGGATTAAGGTCTTCGGGATATTCTGCCTGCTCTTTATGTGTTGGTTTTTCATGTTCTGCGTCATCTTGATGTTTGTCATCAGTAATTATTGATTTATTATTGTTTTCATATTTTTTGTTTGGTGTAATGTCTATAGATTGAGATTCACTATTTGGTTCTGCTTCTTCTACTTTTGGACTTACAATTGATTTTTCATCTGGTGTTAGTTGGTCTAAAGATAAATTCTCCTTAGTGACATCATATCTATTTTCACTTTCTAACTTAAGTAAACATTCTGTGTTGATTGCTTCAGTTGATTCATCTTTGCTGCAATCTTGTGGTTCTTTTTCTTTGACAGATATAAGTGAAGGTTCCTTATTTATTTGTTTAGCTTCTTCCATTATCTGTTCCTTCTCCTCTTCTTTATTACTAGGTAAACTAACGTTAACATTATCGTCTAATTCTTGAACAAATTTATTTGAAATATTATCGTAGCTATGTTTAAAATTATCTTTATGTGATAGAGTTACTGAAGCCTCTGAAGTATGTTTATTATCTTCTATGTTGGTCGTAACATCATCTTGAAATTCCTTTTTACTTAATTGTTCAAAATTTTCTAAATCTTCTAACTTTACTATGGGAATGGGGCTCTTTGTTACATTTTTACTGTCATATGTAAAGGATTTAGAGCTTTTTAAAGGCACTTTAAATGTATTTTGTGAATTTTTATTTACATCAGACTTTCTAAATTCATTAACATCAGTGGAATTATTTTCAAACAACCGCATTCGAGCTTTGACCAACGATGTGTCACCCTCAGTTGCACGTTTATCTTTGGTAACAATATTATGAGTTTTTTCCAGTTCCACACTGGCTTTACCATATTGGTTGCTTACACTATTATTATTTAAATTTACAGTTGTATCTAGTCTATTGCTGGGAAAACCACTATCACTATGTTCACTACTTGCCACTAAAGTGTCTCTTAATACAGTTATGTTTTCACTGCTCCTCAACTCACTCTTGTCCAATTCTGGGGGTATGGATTTAGGTAAATCTGGCGGTTTATCTTCATTTCCAGTATCACTGGATTCCTCCATCTGACTGTGAATAAACTGAGAGCGAGCTTTGAAGAATTCCGAACTCTCATCTCGAGTGAGAGTAAACTCTTGTTTTATGCTCTCATCTCCAATACTCTCTAATGCCGTTTCAAACATAGCACTGTAATTGTCTGGTTCATTTGAAAATGTTTTCAAACTTGCAGTTTTTTCTTCGTCGCTCATGGACCTTAACAGGACAGATTTTTCCGGGGGCGTTTTTGTTACAATTTTTTCCTCGTCTGGGCATATTTCACAGCAAAAATCACCGTTTTCTGTCTCATAGTAATTGGCAAGAGTGAGCTGGCTACTACAGCGAGCGCAGCGGAAGCACGTGCGGTGATAAAGGTCTTTCCCAACGTTTAGGCGTTCTGCTATGAATACTGGAAGACCACATTTGGCACAGGGCTCTCTCCGGACTTTGCCTGCACCAGAAAATGCCACCTAAAAATTATAATAAAATTGAAACAATGTTAGTTTTGCAGAAAATACAAATAACACAAAGCATAACAGCAAACAATTACCTTCAACAAAATATTTCAGGTTTGTACTGTCCCATTATGTCCAAACTCTCTTCCTAAGGAAATAAACAGTGTGGGTTAAGAAAATGCACTAGGTATTAAGATATAACAATCATTTTTGTGCAATGTTTACTTTCAAAAGTATTTAAAGATTAATTAAATTTAAAAAAGTATTCAATTCATAAATAGCTAGTACTGAGACAAGGTAGATGCATGCTACAGCTCAAACGGCCGTCACCGCTAAAGTGAAGAAAATAAGTTATATTGATGAATTCATTATTAATAAAAACACAATAAAAGTTTGCTAGCATGCAGCAGTCGCAATAGGTTATATGTAATAACAGTACACAATTGAATAATTATGTATCTAATTATTAGGCATATTACTTGTAGATATACATAATTTCCTAATTTCGTTAGTATGAATCAATCTGAGCTCAATATTAAGCAAAATTAATATTTTAAATAAGAAACATTTTTTCCGGTTGTTGTGATTTTGATTTGGCACAGATATACATCGTTGTCGTGTCATTTATTAATATTACTATGCTAATACCTTAGTCACAATTGAATGATAAATTTTCAGTTACTGGTTTTTGTGTGTAGGTATACAAGATTTTACTTATTCAAGTAAACTATCCTCAGATAAAACTCATACATTATCACATTAAGATTGCAAATATCAGAAATAATTGTATGGAAATATAAGTGTCACTTCTAAAAAGATAGAATGTATTTTAAGACTAGTTTAAAAGTGTTTTGTCCGATAATGATGGCCCTATGTTATCAATTGAGTTTGATTGTGTTGGTAAATAAATAAAAGTTTGTAGATTTAAGTCAATTTAACGAAACATTAGATCTTCTTGGTTAAATTAATATTAATTGACTCATGACTAACCAAATAAATTGAGTACTTTGAAGAAAAATATACTATTTTAAGTTTTCGTCGGCATAAGCAGATCAGACTAGTTTACAGTAAAAAATAGAAGTACCTATAAATGTTTATATATCTTATAATAATATACAACACTTTAATTGTAAAATACAGGTATCTTCCTTATTTTAAGAGATACAGAAATGGTCAAATGAGTAAAAACGTTGCTAATTGCGGATTCGTTTTTAAATTTAGAAAATTCGGATAGTTCCGAAGATATTCGAAGGAAACCGATTTTATGCTTCTTTTTTCAGTCGTAATTCACTTATTTTTCAAAATTTTAGTACAGAAATGTGTAGTCTGATATTAAACAATGTGAGGGATCGATTTTCGCTGTCAGTTTTAACATATCTCTAAAAATATGTCCTGAGAGGTAGGTAGTTAACTTTTGTTTTAGTTATGGATGCTATAATGATTTTTGCCTCATTAGAAGAAAAGGGAAATTCTCTTTATAACGATGTGTAATTTATGGGGTTTTCATAAATAAATACCCAGGATATTCAAGACAATTATAATTTTAATAAAAAAAGTAGCCAAACATTTGAATTATTTCTATAAATTATTTCTTATTTTTAATACTCTTTAACACAGCAACTTTTATAATAACAAGAGCAACGAACAAAACACCATAAGATAAAGCAAAACAAAATTAAATGGTAAATATCTACTATTAATTAGTGGTCTAGTTACTTGGCCGCCGAGAAGTCCTGATTTGACCAGCATGGACTTTTTTTTTATACGATAATGAGGAATAACTGAGAATAAATATTTCATGATTCAATCTGCTACTCAGAGCATTTATGAACGAGTGCAGAAGTGTATAAATAGTAATGGTATGCACTTCGACATTTTTGATAAAATTTAAATTTTGTGTTGTTTTACCCTTTATCTATGTTGTTTTGTTCGTTGCTCTTGTTGTTGTTATGTAAGCTTGCTATGTTAAAAAGTACTAAAAATAAGAAATACTAAATTAATTTATAGAAAAAATTTAAATGTTTCACATGGCCACCTACGCTTTTATTAGAATTATAATTATATTCAGTATCTTGGTTATTTATTTATGAAAACGCCATAAATTATACATCGTTATAAAGAGAATTTCCGTTTTCTTCTAACGAGGCAAAAATTCATTACAGCATCCATAACTAAAACAAAAGTTAACTATCGCTCAGCCCACATTTTTAGAGATACGTTAATACTGACAGCAAAAATCGATTCCTCACATCATTTAGTATCAGACTACATGTTTTTGTCTTAAAATATTGAAAAACAAGTGAAATATACTAATAAAAAAAATAGCATAATCGGTTTCCTTCGAATATCTTCGGAACTATTCGGAATTTCTAAATTTAAAAACGAATAGGCATAAAATTCACATTTTTGGTAATTTAACCAGTTCTGTATTTCCTAAAATAAATAACAAGACAATTAAAAAATTGTAACCCTGCATATTCTAAAAGCTGATAGGAATCTTTAAGTTGTTTTATGTCAACCATTAATCTGGTCTATTATAAATATGGCGCATCTATACGTCTTTGTATAGGGTCATCTACCTTTAGTATTTTTTCAAAATGCATAAAAATTTTATAATGCTCGACCGGAACTGTGTTAAAAAGTATCTGACCCAAATATATACTTTAATCAAGATAAATTACTGCAATATTTGTATAAAAGGATATTGAACATTACTAGAAAGGTACATAGAATTTTCTACCTAGAAACAAGATGTAAAATTTAAATAATATGGAACCAGTACACTTTTAATTAACTTCCATCAACAATTTTTAATTTCCTTTTTATTAAATATGTCTATGATTCCAATATATAAATCGATAATATCAAATGTTGTTAAAATTTACTTGGTGCCTATGACTAACTTCTTAAAAAACACGATGATGGAGAACATTTTTTTAACCTTTACTGAAATATATGATTATTAAAGGAAGGTCAGAATCAACTCAAAATAATTCCATCCTTTTTCGTGGAGGTTAAATTTGCTTTAATGTACACGATATATTGGCCTAAACCCTAAACCTCTTTTATAAGGCCAGAAACTTTCCTTTCCACAAAATATATTTTGAGTGTTGTTCACTGAATAAATGCAATTTTGATAATTCTAATTTTCACAACACCTCCGCAATTATTTCGGTTGATCGAAGAAATCTTTTACAATTGATTCTAGTCTATATACATAGATTGTAATCAACCATTACCACCTGTTAATCAAGATAAACATAATTCAGTTTTGGCAATTTTGGAAACTAACATTACTGTCATAATAACTAAAACAATAGCTCCAACGCTATAAGCTAATCAATATGACTTGGTTTATTTTTAAAGTTATAAAACAGTTATAATATCAGCAAATTGTCTTAGTAATTTAATTAATTTTAATTAAATAAATTTAAAATAAAATCTAACAGCATAATTTCAATACTGTTTTCGTTCACAACTGATCTAAAACTAAAATACCTAACCCACACTGTTTATTGCATTACTTTGAAAAGTAATTATCAAATTACTAATAAAAAAGATGGAAAATTATAAAGCATGAAAAGTCAATGGAGTTTTGTTAGTAGGAAAAAAACTACATACAGCACAACCCTTTTAAAGCAGAGGTAATGGACCATAAAATTAATAATACAAATAAAATTTATAGATATATGATACCATATCATACAAAGTGTGTAAAATTCACTTTAACTAAATTTTAAAATATCACACAGAATTATTTGATCTTTATTATTTACAAGTAGGTGAGTTAGATATACTAAAATATTACTCTCAATAAATATTACTTAGTTTTATACATATCAAAAAAATAGTTTTAACATGAATATTATCAAACATGTGTATAGTGTCATAAATTAATAATTACATATATTTTTCTTCGACAGCCACTCTATAGAACGAGACAAAAATAAATGGATTCCAAAACTAGAAGCTTATAAATTGTATAATGTAATAATTTTCTAGAGTAGCTCTTAACATGGGGTGCAAAAACGCATTTCCAGGGATGCGAAAGAAATTTTCGATTGAAACTACCACCTTGTTCGCTTGTAAGAAATAAGCCAACGTTGCGTCGGCTTTTGGAACCCCAGCCTTTCTACCTTCGCTTCAGTCCATCAGCCACTAGGTGCAAGAAATTGATTGATGTGCGCACATGTTTGCATACGCTGAATAAGAAATTAACAACTTGTTGTAGAATCGAATGTGTACAAATTTTCTTTAATTTACCAATGATTTTTAATCAATAACTAAAGCTCATACCAGATACGGCTAATTTATTATAATGTAATCATTATACAGGGTGTCTCATAATTAGCTGCCAACCCTGAACAGGCCGATTCTATGATCAAAACTAAGTAAAAAAGTTCATATGAACATGGGTCCGGAAATGCTTCCTAAGGGCACAGGGACCCATTGAAGAGGGAGGAATGGAAATCATTTTTTTGCAATATCTCTCAATCGCGTTGTGATAAATTAATGAAATTTGGTATACATAGCTAAATTTTGATGAGCAATTTGATGGACCATTTATTTCCACAAGGTCCATTGGGGTGGGTACGGGGGGGCCCTTGGTACTTTGCGTGTGTAACTTTTTCATCTTTGAATTTTTAACAAATTGGGCAGCAAATTCCGTTTTCCCGAACTGTTTTACGTTAAAAAGCTACTCTTGTTTCAAATCGTTATCTTTAACGGTTTCTGAGAAAATTGCTCATGAATTAATCCCACTTTGGTCAATTCCATAGTAATTTAAACAAAAAAAAATTTTTGTTTAAATTTAATCTAATTTTAATAAAAAAATAATCATTTCTCTTAGAATTTCCGACATACAGTGTGTACTTTTATTCATTTATACGTAAAAAAACACTTCTTCTGATCCTTCCACGGCTTATCAGATGGCTATCCAAGACCTGCTATGATTTCATTTATAGCCCTGAATTTTAATATAAACACTGCCATTTTTTTTATTTAAATTCTGAAAA